TGCTGGAAATGGCATTCCAAAATGAACTCCGGGGGGTGGTGGCTGGTTTAGGACTACATTTTCGCCCTACATCTCGCACATGGGTACTTGATGATGTTGCAGGGTGATCCTAGCATCAGTCGTTGGCAACTGTGGGCCTACAGTTTGTAGTATAGGAGGTTGGACCTCTCCAGCGGCCTGCTCGGCTGGGGCTGACTGCATGGATGGAGGGGAGCTTGGTTGTACTGTCTGTACGTGTCCTTCTGGCGTCATGGCCCTGGCGTGCTCCGCTCTCCTGGTGGTGACAACCATGTAGAGTTGCAAGAAGCGTCCGACGGTTGTTTGGTAGTAAAAATGGAAATAATCCATCAGATGGATCTTTGGTAAGAGAATGAGAATATAAGTTTATAGTTTCCCACAGACGGCGCCAATGTACCGTTGGAATCTATAGGCCCACTATGTACCCTTTGAGGATAATGTTACTGTATGGATGGTACCCCTAGCTGAGGTAATGACTAGGCTAGAGGGTATTGCTCCAAGTATAAGCAAGCAAATATCAATGGTGGATAACAAGTATATGGCTTAAGATAAACGGGTATGATAACAGTACATAAAAGATGATCTTCTGTCGTGCCCATGAGGGCTATTTATAAGGAAAATGGTGTGGGTTGGTGAGGCGGGAGTCAACCCTCCTTGGGATGTGCTCCCTTGATGGCAGTGTTAGGCGCGGTTGGCGCTGCCACAATGGCAGCGCTGCACCCACTGCATCAGGCGATGTCAGCACTGAGCAAAGGGGCAAATTCCTTTTGCGGTGCTTATGGCGACTGCCTTTTGTGGTTAATGTCCCAAGGTGGGACATTTTGGTGCATCTCTTGGACGTGCTGCAGTCTTGGAGGTCGTGAGGGTCCACGTCAGCCCTAAGGGCTGACGCGGAACAAGGCTGAGGATTGAGCCTGAGCAGCTGGGCCGCTCCAGTGCTTGGGCCATCCGGAACAGACAGGGATTCTTAGGAAATGACAAAGCTATCTTCCATTCCGGTGAAGGCAATGTACAGTCTTAAAAAAATATGTCGCTGTGAATATAGCTGACTAACCGACCTTGGCTAATATCCATAACCTATTGAGTGATGGGTATTTTTGTCGTGGTATAAACAGTTGTGGAGCCGGGTTTAAATTTGAACTCAGACCAAAAAATTACATGTGTATTTATTTTTTTTAGTTTTAGTTAGTTCATATCATAATATATTTAAAATTGTGAATGATCCGTTTATAAATTTTTTCAAATTATACTATATACTAATGTAACTAGTGTACTTTCGGGAGTACATAGTGTAGTTTGTAAACAAAATTTTTGTAAATATAACCCTATTCATTTAAATTATATTAAATACAGAGCACCAGACAATACCAAGAAGAATTATAATTGTATTAAATATTTTTTAATTTTACTAAAAATTTTTTATACAAGTAAAAATTGAACACATAACCCAATACCAATGTTATTAAACTCGGCCAGGTCATTGACTCAGTCGAGGTACTGGGTCACTGGTTCAACCGCATGACCCAGTAAGTATATGTAAATCTACAATTTATATAAAAAAAATATAAATATAGATAAATACTTGTAAAAAAAATACCAATTTCAAATATTTTAGTATGAAAGTAATAAATTACACATCATTGTCCAACAAAAGATCAATCAAACATATAATATTTGTGATACTAGTGTTTCAGGTTCAATAAACGACATCTCTATCTATAAATTAAATCAAAATTCCCTGCATATTACATAATCAAGATAATATTAGTGTTGTAGATACATAATCTATGTAAGTTAATAAGCTACAAATGAATCAAATATTTCAAAGAAAATAAATCATTTGTGTTTGAGAGTAGGAAAAAAAGAAGACATTAATTTATGAAAATAAATTAGTTTTTTTTATAGACCTGGCCGGGTCACCGGTTTTTACGAAAACTGGTCGGGTCGTACCGGGTCACACTGGTTCTATAACATGACCGGTCCAATATGAAAATCGGACCGGTTACATGACCGGTTCACCGGTTTTCGGGTTGACCCGGCCCGGTCGGTTCGGTTTTTAAAACATTACCCAGTACAACTTACCCAAATCTCTTACCAAAAATATTTTAAGCTTTAGATATGGCCAAATTATAATTTTAACTCAGACCAAATTATATATGATCATATAATTATATATAATAAGTATAATTTATTAAAATTTTGCCCGGGCTGAGGCCACACCCACAATGCATGTGGCTCCGCCACTGGGTATAAATATGTATTTTATTGTTATAAATTTCTATTTTATTTCTATCTAATTTAAAATCTTTCAAATAAGTTAAAGGGTTTAAAGTTTTTTATGTTATCAGAGATAAAATTATTTTTTACACACATATAAAAATGTGTATGACTCATGTGGAGCCATGTGAGAAGAAGAGAAAAAAAGAGAAAAATTAAGTCTCACTCATTTTTATGTCTATATAAAAAATAATTTTATATTCTATAAGACGAAAAACATTAAATTCTTAGTTAAATATTATTTTCTCTTGAAATTGTCTTTCTGTTAAACTTCTGGCCAAGGGCATCGTTACCTTTTTATTGTACACTATGATTTGTCATGGTTGAGTTTTATAGTGTAGTCTTGTACTCGAATACTAGACCCCTCTTAAACAGATTAAAAGCAATGGGTTCTAATATAGACCTATAGTTGACTACGAGGCTTGTTTTTTGTATTTAGGTCTTGAATTATAGCTTGTTGTATATTTCCTTGACCCTTTTCATCGTTCTTTCAATTTAAAAATAAGGGTGTTGACTGTTAAACCTTAACTCTGTTGGTATGTAATTTCTTTTATGTTTATCATCCAATTCACTTTGTATTTGGGAGTTTGATTCTTGTTAATTCATTGTCACCTACCCTTAAAAGTTAGGGTTTTATAAGAGTTATGTTGTAGGAAAAGTGATTGTGTTATGTTATAGAGATTCGTTTTGCGTGCCGAAGTTTTTTTTTTTTTTTTTTGCTGCGGGCCCCACAAAATATTGTGTGTGTAGGAAAATTTTTGTGGTCATGTTAAATGATAGATGATAAACCCTAAAAGTTAATGTCTTTTCTAGGTTTTTGATGTTTTCACGAGATTCACCTCTCATCCTTGAGGACTCATTATCAATGATGTTAAAATCGAGATCTTCAGTAAAATTTGAAGGGAATTAAAAAATCGTAAAACGTAAATTCGTAATGTATAAAAATCATAAAAACGTAAAAGCGTTTGAAATATTAGTAAAATCGTTTTGATGAAAAAAAATCGTATAAAATTGTAGTGATAAATCGAGATTTTAACAACAATGCTCGTTATCTCCTTTTATAAAATTTAAGAAATAATTGATTTATTATGAAAGAAAATGAGAGTTTTTTTAAATCTAAATATTAAATAAAAACAATCATTTTAACTAAAATGATTGTCTACAATTTTTTTAATTAATTCAGTTGAATTAGTTGAGAATTATATAACTAATTCAGTTGATAAGTCGTTAAAAGTTTTTTTTTTTTTAACAATAGTTTGATATTTTAGTTTACCTTAAATCTTAAAAATTTTAATTATTAAATTGTTGGGTAGGAGTTTACCGGGAAAAAAAAAGTTGTTGGGTAAGAAGTATAAAAATAACTTTTACCTAAATTTTGATTGACATCAATACATACTATTATACATGATATGGCCCTAAAAATATACGTGATGTGTAAGCAACTGTTGCTTATGAAAAATATAATTACCAAAAAATATATATTTATTTTTTTAAAGGATAGTCATTTTAGTTAAATATTTTTTATTTAATATCTAAATTTAAAAAATGATCTCTCACTATAAAACATAGTAATTTTGACTAAATTGATAGAATTTCATATCATTTAAAAAGATAAATATTAATCTCACAAAAAAATTATCATGGAAAAATAATTTCTGCAATTATGGCTATAAAGAAATTAGAGACAAAAAAATTGATGTAACTCACTCTTTTATTTTTTTGTGTTGGCAGAAATAGTTTCCCCGTAAAATTAATATGTAAATAAGTGATTCTCTTTACCTAGGCGTCAATTATTGTCATATTTGACATTGAGCTTTGACCTTTTGGTCCCATTATTCGCATTGGTTCTTCACGGGTCGCGCTATCGCAATACACTCCCTTAAGAAATTTATTAAATAAATGGAAAAATAATTTATAAAATGCCATACTTTATTTTATTTGATATTTGATATAAACCATCTATTTATTGTTTAATTGAAAAATCAACATAACACATTTACCTTTCATATATAGGAAGTTATTTTGCATTTGAAAATTATTTTTAAGAAAATATTTGAAATAACATTTATCACTAAATCTTTTTTATTAAAGGAGATTACTTCTCTCATGTAGTATGAGAGAAGTTATCTCATATTAAGAGATAAATAAAATGGGTTCCACCAATTTTTAGAAAAAAAAAAAAAAAAAAAGACACATTTTTCAAAGAGAGAATGATATAAGAGATTCATCTTATACACCGTAAGAGTATCATTTTCCGAAAGAGCTCCGTTGATGCTACCGATTCATTCTACACAGCTATATATAGCCATTAGCCAATGTCTCTCTCTGTTACTTCATTAGAGTTAACCACAACGTTATTTAAAAATTATAATTTTTTTTCACAAGAACTGATATGTTTTTATTTTTTCTCATAAAAAATTGCATGTTGATGGTAGATCTCTTAATCTTTGTGCAGAAAAATAATGTAATAAATTATAATATAAAACAAAAATTACATTAACTTAGATTTAATTTAATTTTTTCAATAAACAATTGGCAAGTAAATAAAGTAACATGGGCAATTGGCAAATGCAACCGACAAAGGTTCCACTTGGATTTTGTTTGTCTTTAAAAAACTATGTTTTCTTAGTTACTCCAAATCTAATTCAATTAACACTTTCTTTTCTACGCTTCAAATCTCACTCGCACTCTCAATGATTCTGTGATTCATTCACATCTCTCTCTGTGTGCTCACGAGAGAAGGAACAAGATGGGTTCTGTTTCTCTGAAAATAGGAGATGGAACAGCCAGATTCAAAAGAGCAACTCTATGTTCTTCAGCTGTTAACATTCTCATGATATTCTCAGTTATCACCACCAATCTTTTTGCTCTCTATGCTTTCACTGCTTCCCCAAAAAACCAAAACCATCACCACCTACTTCACCATGCCCACAAGAATATCTCTGTCATCTCAGAGCAGGTTTCACTCATTCTGAGAGAGATCGATTTGTCTCAGAAGAAATTGGCCCAGATGGAGAAAGAGCTTCTTGGCTATGAAAGCATTGATCTTTCAAGACCCAATATTGCAAATGAACTCAAACTCTTCCTCCAGCGTCACCAGCTCCCTCTAGGCAAAGATTCAAGAACTGGGATCACTGAAATGGTGCCATCTGTTGGCCATTCCTGTGAGAAATCTTCAGACTTGTTGTCTCAATACATGAGTTACAAAGTTTCTGGACCTTGCCCTGATGATTGGAGTGTAGCACAGAAACTAATCATGAGAGGATGTGAACCCTTACCAAGAAGAAGGTGTTTTGCTAAGACTGTTTCCAAGGTAGGCCTTTATCCTTTTTCATTGTCTCTTTGGAAACCTGTTGGTAATAAGACTGTTAACTGGAGTGGTCTCAATTGTAAGAACTTTGAATGTTTGAATGGTAAGAAGTTGAGTAGAGAATGCATTGGTTGTTTTGATTTGGTTAATGGCTATGAGAATCAGAGGTTTGTCAAGGCTAAAAGTAAGAATGATTTTCTTGCTGATGATGTGTTAGCCTTGGGAAGTGGAGGAATTAGAGTAGGGCTTGACATTGGTGGTGGGTCTGGTTCATTTGCTGCTAGAATGGCTGATAGGAATGTTACAGTGATTACTAGCACTCTCAATATTGATGCCCCATTCAGTGAATTCATTGCTGCAAGAGGGCTTTTTCCTCTTTACTTAAGTTTGGATCATAGGTTCCCATTCTATGACAATGTGTTTGACTTGATTCATGCTGCAAGTGCCTTGGATGTAGGAGGGAAGCCAGAAAAGTTTGAGTTTTTTATGTTTGACATCGATCGAGTTTTGCGGGCTGGTGGTTTGTTTTGGCTGGATAACTTCTATTGTGCCAATGAAGAGAAGAAACAAGCTTTAACACGGTTGATTGAAAGCTTTGGATATAAAAAATTGAAATGGGTTGTGGGAGAGAAGGTTGATAGTGTTGGGTCAGGAAAATCTGAAGTTGTTTTATCTGCTGTCCTTCAAAAACCTGTTAGAGTTTAAAGCGTAGGGGCTTATACAACAACAAAACGGCAAGATGTAAGAATAATCTTCGTTCTGCTATATCTATTTGGCACGTAATTTGTATGAATGAATTGCTTTCAACATCATCAAATCTCATTAGAAGTGGAATAAGTACAATAATTGTTTCTTTACCAATTGTAAACCAACTTTTTGAGGGGGCATATATCATGTATTTTTTAAGTTCTGATTTATATCTTATTCTGTATTTCGGTACTAGCTGTTTTTGTAATTGATATATTATTAGAAAATGAAAGATGAATTACATTTTGAAACTTATAGAGTCAACTTTAGCCTTTATGTTTTAAAATTAGAATTTTACTTGCTAGACTGCGATGGATTCAATCATATGCTTCTAAATGTTTCAAGATTAATATGGTCGACTGGTCCTGTACTTTTATTAGCAGGATAAGTGTTGCAGTCTGTATGCATGGTTCTTTTTTATTTCTCTACCCCATATTACTGCCATCATATGCATGACCACTGGAATCTCTAGCACAATCAATAAGGATTACTTCACGTGTAAAAGAAATCATCCATTGCCAATGACCTTTTTTTTGTGTGTATCTCAACCGGTTCATTGGAATCCCAAATAGTTTGGTTTGAGCACGCCAGACCTATATAGGGGATAGTTCTCCCAACTCGAGACCTCTAGTTTAGGGGGATGGCCTTTTAACTTGGTGACTCCTAGCTTCCTTCAGAAAGACTTGATCCTCGATTTGATCTCTAGGTCCCAATCAATAATGTGATCATTCATTTAATTCCATATTCATTTTCTTATTATTCCTACTCACTGCTCTACACCAAGATTCTGATAAGTAAACTCACAAGAATGTTGCCTAATGGAAGACAGCTTTATTTAAGTCATACAAAAGTCAGTGGCGACTCGGCTAGATCCGAGGGTTTAACCTACCTAAAGGGTAATGGGTTCGAATCACAAGAGACACAAATTCGAAACCGGATTAGTCGGACACATTAGAGTTGCGGATACCAATTGGTATCTACCCAAAAAAAAAGTCATGAAGATGTTAAGTACTGAGGCCCGCAGCTGATGAGTGTTGATGACTTGCATACTTGCTATTGCTAACAGGGTTTTGATATTGTATGAAACTGCTTTGTTTGCCTCTTCACTTGTAGTTCTGAATTCAATCATTTCATTGTTTACACTGACTTGACAAAACTACTTTAAATTCTCACTGAATGTGGAGATTGTGTTTATTCACAAGGATGTAATTAAGGCTTCAAACCTAATAGGGGACCTAGAAGGGAGAGAGTTGAAGACTGGGGGATAAATCAATTATCACGGATGAACATGTGCTAGGAAATTCAAAAACACAATTTTTTATTTGCAACATCCACTTCATATTTGATAACCCAAATTATTTCTTGAGATATATAGTCCCACATTGGTTGAAGAGCAACTAATGTGGAGTTTACAAGGCCTTGGGCACTCCCACCCTTTGAGCTAGCTTTTGGGTGGTGTATCCCAAGGTTCTTTACATGGTATCAGAGCCTCACCGTCCCCCACTTTAAGGTGGAATTAAAAACAAAAAAAGCACAAAAGGTAAACCAAAAATTGGGCCTGTGCATAATTTACGCTTCAAGCCCAAAGGACTCTTGTGTGAGGGGGTGTGTTGAGATATATAGTCCCACATTGATTATGTGGGCAACTAATGTGGCCTTTATAAAACCTTGGGCACTCCTACCCTTTGAGCTAGCTTTTGGGGTGGTGTATCCCAAGGTTCTTTACATGATATCAGAGCCTTGCCGCCCCGCACTTTCTCTTGTGGCGTTTCTTAGCACAGGTAGACTTGGGTCTGTTGCATTGTCCACTCTTCAAGCTCAGTGGGCTCTTGTGTGAGGGGCCGTGTTGAGAAATATAGTCCCACATTGGTTGTATAGGCTACTAATGTGAGGTTTATGGGCACTCCCACCCTTTGAGCTAGCTTTTGGGGTGTTGTATGTTCTTTACATTATTCTTCACCAAGCCCAATTTATTGCAAAGAAGTGAGCCTAGATTGTCTTGGCTGATTAATTAGGCCATAGAATTTGGATGCTTATAGTAAATTTATAGCAGCTGAGGATCTGATTAGAATTTTCGAATCTGATTATATCTTAAACTAGATGTGGTTTTTGTCTCTTGTATATCTTTGCTCATCATGCGCAGGTTTGAAGTGCATCGATTAAATTATATAATATCTTAAACTAGATATGTGTCCGCAATCTTCAAACACCTTGAAGTTGAAGCTTTCTATTTAAATATAATAACACGAGCACCGTTACTGTGGGATGCTTGATTGCTTGGGGATGTATCAGTAATATGGTCATTGAGATGAATTATGTCAGTGTGTGCTTGCTTGCTGAATTAATTTTGTTTTTCCCTTTGTTAAATTATCTTATAGCACGCATACACAGTTGCAGTTACTCATGGTCACAAAAATTGTGGCCCTAAAATTCTTCTACCTTTGAATTATGTCAGTGTTTATTTTTTGGATAATCACTGTGGCTGAAAATGTGCACCCCATTATTAGTCTCGAGGAGAAATATTTTTTACCGAGAAAAAATAATTTTTGGAAATATGATGGAATTTTTTTTTTTTTTCGGGTAAGTTACTAAAAGGCGTTTGGTAGGCTAATTTTTTTCGGAAATGTTTGATTAATTTTATTGTTGCTATATGTTAATTTTTCTACAACATGGAAATTTTTTTTTTCTACCCCATCAATGGCAATCTTCCATAACAATTCGATATGGAAAAAACAATTGATGGGAATTTTTTTTTTCCCAGCCTTACTTTTACTTCATCTCTTACCAAACATAAATAAATAATTTTTCCTTCCCCACTTTTTTTGGAAAAAAAAAATTTCACCTCCTACCAAACACCCCTTAAAATTCAATATTATGCTTATAATTTGCACACAATTGAACTCAAAATTGACCTTAACAATGTAATGAACGGAGATTATACGTTCTCTTTAAGCCAATTATTAGGGTGATTATACCTTCGGCTAAGAACATTTTGTTTGGAAAAAAAAAAAAAAAAAAGTGTTGGTGAAACCAACATTTTGTTTTGACAAGGTCCATTATGGATCGAAGTTAGGCGCTTGGGTTGATAAAGATAAGTAAAGAATGTTGCGTCCTTTAGGTTAAAAATCAGATCGATTCATAAAAATAAGTAGAGTGTTGTGCTCTTTAGGTCAAAATCAGATCGAATCATAACAGTTAGGCTATAATTTTTGTTAGTGTTTATTTTCTTCATTTTCCTTTCTTTTTTTTTATAATTTGCTAAATGCTTATAACCCAACTGGCATGGAAATATGGTAGCATTGGTACTTGGATGGTTGATTGATTAGCAAGATTCCAACGCGTATTAATAAAGCATAATATTGCTACTTGCCTGCAAGAATGACTTACAAGAATAGGTATGGAATCATTGACTCAATGGAACATTTTATAACCTTTGATCTTTCACAAACTAAGACTCTTCCTCCTTCAAGGTTTGGTCCATACCTACTAATACTCCAATCTTGCCAAATGAGTGTTCCTTTTAATTCATACATTACATGGCAACTTTGTAGGACAAGGTAATATATGACTTCTCCCACAACAAATGCCTTTTACTTTTTGAGAGATTGCTTCGAACGTTAGAAGAAAATTGCAAAGCATGGCTTAGTGATCTCTTGTGCAGCCACCTGAACATTCAAGCATTGATCCCTTGCAATGCTCCACTGTTTAGAAGTTTCATCCCCTCTTCACTCATTTGCTGAACTTCTGAAGGTGATAATATTCTGATGCAGCGGACACAGCCCACAAATTCCCTGCACAAAGAATTTGAACGAAGGATATATAACATGAGAATGCCAATCAAAATAACGATTTTTCCTAAGGTTCTATCTAAACTCTAAAAGGGTCTCTTTTCTTTTTTTGGTTCAAAAGAATTCTAAGCATAATAAGCCTATTAAACTCAAGCATGTAAAGATCCCACATTACAAGAGAAGGTAAGAAACTTACTCCCAAGGATCATCCCCAACAAGTAGAACATCGCTCTCATAGTCTACATATACCAATTTCCATCCTGAACCTTTGGTGTCATTCAGCAGACCATCGAGTCCAAACATGCATTCAATAGCGCGGATCAACTCCTCATAGTTCTTGAAAGTAGTTACATCAATTGATCTTCCTACAGAACCTGCCTTTTGCACCTGTAAGCCCAAAAAAGATCAGAACCATGATGACATACGTGATTAAAAGATGTTGAGCCAAATAATATAGTTGAACTTTGAAAACAATAATTTGCAGGCTTATATTTGAGGGCGAGCAATGTAGTGGTAAAACTGCTCCTGTGTGCATACAAGGAATCCCCTCGCCTCTACCCTCACAATTTATGTCAATTTAAGATATCATAGTATGAATGCAAATTTAGAAAGAGTTTTTCCACTACAAACCTTGGTGTAGGTTCGGATGGGTGCAGCTACTTGTTGCCATGAGTTATTCTGCAGAAAGCTGCTTTCATCAAAATCTACATGGCTTGAAGATGTCCCACCTGAGTTGTCAGGGATGTCTCGCAGAGAAAAGGCATGTGATTCTGCAAGACTTGCGGAGGTTATCTGAGACTGGACATCCTGGCTAGAACTCAAGTTTCCAACCATGCAATCTTGTGGATTCTGAAAATCTCTGTCCTTCATTGTGCAAAACTCATCCAAAATGGCACTTGAAGTAGAAGGGTCAACCATGGTGGTACTTACACTGTTACTAACATCAACATTGACACAAATTTCACTTTGGTTGTTGCTCTCAGCTGAAAGATCCCTCAAATTGTTTGAACTAGATATACCATTGAGGCCATACATCCCTGGCTGACAAATGGATGTTAGCTGGTCCGGTTGAGATAAAAACTTCAAATTCTTGACATAATGATCCCACACTTCTTGGTTCATCGAAGGTAAAGGGGGATTCACTGCTTGAGTTTGAAGTGAGGTATGTTCTTGCAAATCTGATGAAGGCCCAGTTGATCTGTTTTGTCCAGAAAAAGGTTGGCAAGAAGAATACATCATCCATTCATCAATGTCTAGCTGAGGAAGCAGGCCATTTACAATAGCAGAATCAGATTGGGGGGACATATCAATCAGTTGAGGATGCGATATCGATGATTCTAGTTGAGACTGCATAGGCCATGGACTAGTTTGAGTGTGTAATGGACTCTGGTTGTGATTATGGAATGCCAATTGGCTTGCTAGGATTTTCGGGTTAACAGGATTTGCAGCCATTTTTTCAATGTTGCAGCCTTCCATGGAAGGGAAGTCAAACATATGATCAGGTAACACTTCAGATTCTAATTTTGACTTATCAGTAAATGTTCCAGAAGGAAGATGATTATCAATTTTGGCCATAGGATGCAATTTTTCAGGTTGGTCACTTCTCATCAGTGAATGCATGTTAAAGGCATTATGTTGTTGGTCGGGTACTGACTGAGAATGTAGATTTTTTGGTGGCATGCTCTCTGTACTTGCAAGATGAACATTTTGGTTCTCTGTTGCCAATGTTGTCTTCACCTCTTGTAAGGGACCTCTAGTAGCAGCAGATTCTTGTTGCATGACCGATAAAAAGGCTCCATTATTGTTAAGAAGTTGGGGTCTAAATAACATTTTCATCAGATGTTCTGAGTAGAGATTTGGTATCGAGTTTGAGAGCTCCAATGTTCCATTTTCAGGAGCTCTCATAAAAGGTCTTCTTAACAATGTTCCCCACTCATTTTCTGCACCAACCAACATAATAAGTCATAAAACAGAAGACTCATCGACAGAGAAGGAAAATAGAAATATGAAACTTACCCAAAAGTCCAGATTGTAACGGCCGTTTTAGACTTGAAGTCAAAGAAGGAAAGATAAAAAGGCTTTCAGGAGTTTCAATCTCCCATACACTAACTCTATTCTGCTTATCTCCACACCCTGGCTCATCCCACTCCACCTGTTTACATAGAAATTGTTAGTTGTTCTGATGCTGAGCTAGGAAAGTAGGCCAATCCACTATAAGCTTAAGCTCCAATATGTAGTATGCTTTATAGAAATATTAGAATGGATTATACAACAAATCAGAAATCATATAGCTTCTGCTTATAAATTTATCCCCCTTAATTCTTATGCATAGAAAATGAGACTCAATATTTTTACTGCAATTTTGACTCATCATACTATTTATTAACTATAGTAACGTGCAATACTATAGTAATAAGTAAAATATCGAATGAATGTCAAAGAACAAACTTTTGATGGGGGTGACCAGAGCTTAATCTACCTGAATATTTCGCCACTTAGAACCAGGCCACCTCAAAGGATCCACATCACTGATACCAACTATTGTACCCATATATCTGCAGAAAGATGAAGTATATGTCAACTTTTGCTTGCTTGCTCAGAACTTTACAGATATCATAACAATTTAGTTAAGGAAGCATATTTAGCTACAGCATAATCCAAGCCTTCAGGAAATTTACCTGCGCTTACCCGATTCCTCTGTCTCAAACATCATACCAAATCTCATGCCAACTGAGACCTGAGTCCCATATACAACTTTTCTGTATTTAGCCAACGGAATAACAAATTCTGAAGGACATGCCCTACAAATAAGTAGAAATAGACATTATACTCAAAGGAAATTATCCCATGAGCTATATTTGCAACAACATTATATCTTAAATATATGCTAGGTGAGGGTATGAACATATAAAATATACCTTGGATTGTAGAAAATAGTAAATGGACTTCGATTAGCAGCAGCATGAGCTGCAGCAGCAAGCACACCAATGTGCATGCTATCTGCAGAAAGTACTGATGATGGCAGTGTTGTCTGTTGACGATTAACACGCCTCACACCAACTCGCAATTGCGATTTCTCATCCCTTGTAACAATTGACATATCACTATTAGTATGACAATGAAGAATAAGTTGCCAAACTGAATTCCATGATATTCACAATATTTTGGTTCCATTATATTGCAACAACACCATGGAGAATAGACAATGCATGTTACAAGAATTTTGCAGACTTTGTTTTTCACAATAATACACTACCTATATAAAGATAATAATAATGATTTTGCTAGCAAGTTGCAACAGTGTGAAAAAAAATGAAGCAAACAAAATTTAGTACTCTACTGTGTTCCTTCCCTTTCCTTAAGAATTGAAAATTCCACCTTCTATATGCTAACATTTAAATAGTGAATATTGCTTGTTGCCACCATTTACCTGATAAAAAGAACAGAATCCCCAGCTCTAAGCCTTTTTGAGCCTACAAACAAACTCCATCCTGTTGTGAGAAGGTGTCTCTTTGGTTGACCTACATAAAAAATGGAAAAAAAAATAGCAGTGTAAGGACTCTGACCCAATCCAGCCCTTTCAAACAAAATGCACACAAGGTCAAAATGATAAAAACAAGAATGGGTTCAAAAATAAGCTGCCAAGAAAAACAATAACTTGCAGCAAAAAAGAAGGATGCAGTTGCTAAATATGAAATTGAATCTACAACATCAAAAATCCATTCCTATTTTCTACCAAAGTAACAAATAGAGTTGAATGAAGAAAGCATCCTCACCCCGGTATATATGTCGAAATGTCCAGGTATTATCATGCAAATCTCGGACAACAAGTTCTTGGGTTGGGGGTTGAATTGTGTAATCCTGAAATGAATATATATTAATCAAATGGGAATTGAGGTACTACAACATCTTCCCCAAACACAGGCCAAAAGAGGATTTGCAACAAACTGGTGTTATAGATGTACCAATGGAGGAAAGAGCTTTTCTGCTGCCCTTCGTGGAACCGAAAAGCCACCATGTGTGCTGGTGTCACTAGCAGTCAAAGTTTTGCAGAAAAATTCAGTGGGATGTTTACTGTGGTTTAGACCAAACTCAGTTATAGGAAAGACTTCTTTTTCCTGAGATAGAGAAACTTAATCTGAGAAGAATATTCAACATATCACAAATAATCATGACGTTTAAATATGCAGTAACAATAATTCCAGAACTGAGACTTCCAAGCTTACAGAATTCAGTGGTTGAAGACTCATTTGAGCATAGATTTCGTCTGTCTCCTTATCTGCCTATGATAACATACAGAAAAATGGTAAACTTTTGATGGGAGTTATAATAATTTTTTTTTTTTTTTTGAAGTTGAAATGAGCACTTGAGGACAAATGCAACAAGGGATCAACCAATCAAGAACACTCACATGAAGTGTGACATTTTGAACTTGGCACAGTAACTGAGATGTAAGATTGGGATAGTTTGGAATCTGTGAGGTAGCTGTTCTTCTAGTTGAAGCTGCCACCTGTTCAGAAATTAAGAGAAAGGGGACACACATGTTTCAGCCAATCAACAGAAACTACTAAGCCTTTGTATTATTACTCATAAATTAAGAGATAAGAAACCAATGCTAGAATTAGCACTTGAAAAAAAATTAAAACAAGAGTTTCACCTGTTCGCTATGTCCCTGAGGGAAATAATACACAAGGCTTCCAACCTGAGGCAACGACACAAGAGGGCCTGCACAAGCGTGCCATAACTCTGAATTTAAAGTCTGTCGAACCCCTGAAAAATTAGCATCATCAAACAAAGCCTATTTATTAAGATGTAACAAAAAAAAAAAAAAAAAATTGATCTTTGTTTCAGAACTAGAAATATGAAAAACCACATAGAATTTATGATTTAGAAAGATGAAAAGGAAACAACAAACCAGAATGTTCCTGCATTTCTTTCAGCAGTTTCATCTCAGCAACAAATGTTTGACCCCCAACAACTAATCCTCCTCCAACTCCACAAGTTTTAATCTTTTCTTCTACGGAAGCCATCCTATATTTCCTATGCTGCACGACTCTCACTCAGAGGAACCCTTGTTTCTACGTCTTCAATTCAAAACCTCCAAAAGCTGCACCCCACCAAACAAAAAAATCCTCCTTTCCCTCTTCCATCATCACAAGACACAAAGTGGCAAGTACCATTCACCACCCCATTTTCTTATGTTGGAGAGTAAAAAAGAACAAAAGGGTCCATATTCTTAATATAAGAATCTCATTTTGTTGTCGGAGAAAACAAAGAAAGAATCCAAGCAAGCTGAAAAGCAGAACGAACGAACAAGGAACCAAAAAAAACCTGCGAAAAAGGGACACCGTGCAGATCTTTCTTTCTTTCTTAAGTTGGTGGCACAAAGCAAGCAAAAATTAAAGCCCCATCAGTTTGCATCAAAGCACGCGGACCTAAGCATTATTGGGTTGAGTTTAGTACTTGTTTCTTTTTCTACCTTCAAAAGAAACCAACCTTTCAGTGAAACCACTCATCACACTGACGCTGATACTGCTTCCTTCTTTCTTTCCACTTCTCAAGCACAAGCACCAATGCCAAAACTAAAACAAAAACTAAAACCCCTTTTCTCTCTCTCTCTCTCTCTCTGCTTGAAACAGCAAGCAGAGTGCATGCTACTTGAGTCCTATGCTTTGCAGCTTTAAGCTATATATATCAGAAAAATAATTAACACCTAAAAAAGAAACACTAGTGTATATGTGTATATTAGTATTAAATGAAAATAGTGAAAGCAGAACTGGAAGTCTATAAGAACACGAAAACAGTACACTACACGCTTCCAAATACAAACACCTTAGCTCAGCTCACGAAATATATAATCACAGGCAATGCTACACACACACACTAGCTTTGCATCTATTCACTTTTTAACACATTTAACATTGGGATTTATGAATATTATTTTGTAGAAGGAAGTTATGTCATGTTATTGCAGACACATCTCATCATGTGTCCCTATTTTATTTTATTTTCTAAAAAAATAATTTTAAATGTGAGTCTCGTATAAGATGTTTTTATAATATAACACAAAATCTCTCCTGCAATATGATATTCATAAATTCCTTTAGCATTTAATTAACTTTATTCTATCTTATTTTTTAGGGAATATATTTTTTATTCTCTCATGCAACGTAACAAAATAAATAAATGAGATCTACTAAAAAAAGAAAAAATGAATTTTACCAATTTTTTATATGTGCATAAAAAAATTTCGTATTTCTCTTATTTTGCCACCTATTTTAACGAGAAGAGATGTGTACTTTTATTATATGTTAGAAGTTTTATTTTATAAACACATACTTTCTACTATTTTTTTTGAAAAAAGAGTGAAGTGATATGTCATTCATATTAAGGTGGAAAAAAAAAACTTAGATGATTATTAATATATCCCCAATTTTGTGCTTTCTCTCGGATTGTGTGTGCCATTCCTAATTTGCTTTGCTGCTTCTACCATTTTCACCTGCCCCATTAACATTACATCATCCTCTTAATTATTTTTCCCTAATATCTAATTTTCTTCCTAAGGCATTTTCAGTTTTAATGTTATTATGGCCTTGGTTAAACTCGAACACTTAATATAACTTTGTTGCAGAAAGTTGGGTTTGTAAAATTTAAAGTATAAAGTATAAACTACGTAACCCTTTTGATTTTTTTTATCATTTAGACGTAATGCAACAATGTAATAATAAAATAATAATAATAATAATGCACAATTTGAAAATTTTGACAAATTCAATCATAATATATCAAAATTAAGGTAAGGTGTGTTGAAGTGGTTAGATTATTCATTGATGTTATAGTCAACAACTGACAAAATTAATAACTATCAAGTATTTTCCTAAACAAAATTGTTTTTTTTTTTTAAGAATAAAATTTTATGCTGATTTATTCTGCTTTATTAATAAAAAAATATTTCTTCCCTAAGAAATTAGAAATAGAAAAAGCTTCTTTCCCCGCGTTTTGAGCAGTTGTTTAGCATATGATGTTTGACCGTTCGTCACGCGTGCGGGTCACGACAAACCAATGGGGTGAATCAAAATTAAAGTGTTTTGACACGTGTCGTTATACTGTTATTTTATTCACGGCGCCGTTTTTCACATTTGAAATTCCACGTTCCTACCCTTTTTGACCTACTTTTTCTTTTTCACAAGAAAATTAACAACTATTTATTTATTTTTTGATACAAAATTAACAACTATTTAACTTGCTCAGAAAAAAACAGTTTTTTTATTTTTTGAACTTTGTTATTTTTCATTTTAAACTTAGTTTACTCATTATATATATATACACACACATATCACAATAATACACTTAAGAAAGCTTCCCACTTGATCCAAAATAAAAGTTTTCTAACATATTAAAAAATGATAAGGTAACTCGAAAAATTAAAAATACAAAATTAAAAATACACAGATACCAAATTTCTTCCTACCTTATTTTTTTATGAACAGATTAGAAGTCAAATTCAAATGCATGCCATAAATTTGGTGCAGAAAAATCAAATAAGTATGTACATTTATCGGTTTCATGACAATGACCGTATACTTACAAACCTATTTTAAGTTCTGAGAGTGACTTGTGGATGAAGATTTCGGTTGATTATCTTGTAATTCAATTTTTTTAATTGTGATTTGAGAGCAAGCCATTCGTTTACGGCAATCTCGATTCTTGACCACTTGCGAACTCATCTAAATGATAATCTATACATGTTTCTATCTAGGCCAGCTTTTGGTCTTTCTTTACCAAATTAAACTTCTATTGATAAAAGAAAAATCACACGTAAATTAATTGGTAAGAAATTATTTGTCTAATTAATAATCTTCATTTTTAATCCCTAAAAACGTAACTGTGTTAAAACTTGACAGGAAAAATCTCATTGTTTATGTGATTATATTCGCCTCGAATGAAACTAGTTAAATAATTAATCAACCGATGAATAATATATAAAAAAAAAATTAAAAGATTTGTCTACATGCATGAAAGTTTATCTTTTCTTTATTAAGTATCCTATACCTATGCTATGCCACTGCTCAGTTATCTTCTTCCATTGGTAGTCACCTATATGATAGTAATATTCCCTACCTTGTTTGGTCTAGTGAAAGCTAAATGTAGGGATACTCTCCAACTCTGGTTTTGGTTGAAAGGAATGGTTATAAGCAATACACAGCGAGGAGAGGCTACCATTTTTCTGTAAGTAGATACCACACGTCGTGTTCATGATTATTAGCAATGATTTTTTTCCACTATCACATACAATCTTCCCTAGTTACTCCTATCCGAAAATAAAGGCAGGTATTTGTGGCTTGAGTGTGGAATTTAATAATCTTATTTTACCTTTTTTGTTTTTTTTTTACCTTACTTATTACTCTTTGTACTATTAGATTAGAATCTTATTATTTCTCTCTTTCTCTTGAGATTCTAATCTAATACTGTTGAATATGAGTATATCAGGTAGGTAAATAAAATAACTTATCTGATCTTATTATGCCAATATTTTTTAAAAGCACTGGTTAAAGAATTAAAAATAAAAACATTTGATATATTATAAAAATTCATAAAGCTTTACTTTTATTTAATATTCTCTGTGTTTTTTTTCTTTGACAAGTGATCCTACTTATTAGCAAAACCTTTATTTTAATTGATTTTATCCTTAATTATTACATAAACCCATGCAGCCTATAGTATAGACAAGTAGAATACTAAAACACTGACGTAAAATTATCTTTATTTGTTTTTTGGTACTGTCTTATAATAAAAACATAACATGTGTATTACTCTTGTCAACTTTATCTTCCTTTTTAATTTTGTTATGGATTACATGAAAGAAATAATATGCATGTTATGTTTTTATTAGAAAGCAATACCACAAGTACCCATGACATTTTATTTTCCTTCAAAACAATAATAATGAGTTTAATTGTTAATTTTTAAAAAATAAACAATATATTTATAATATATTATTAAATCATTTAATGATTTTAATTATACTAACAAATATATAAAGTGTCAAAATTAAATTCAATGATGCAATTTTTTTTTTTTCCATTAACAAGACATCAAAATTGAATCCATTATAAGTTACCCCATTTGACTTAGTTGAAATAATTTCTCCTTGCTTACCAAAAAAAAAATAAAAAAAAATTTCTCCTCTGTTTGGTTTAAAAGGCAACTTTTTATCCTCACGTGATTTCCTCCGTTACCATGTCATTTTTTTATTTAATTTTTAAAGCAAGAGTCATGTTAGAGTTTTAAAAATGATTAAACCTTAAAATTAGTTTTTGAAGATATACAAAATATTAAATTAGTTCTCTAAATATTTTATCATCGATTTGGTTTTCAATAATTAAAATATGGATAGAAAAAAAGATATCTAATGTTACTTTAGACAATTTTGTCTAATATCTATAGAAACGATATCGTTTTGGGGTTAAAATTAAAAAATTAGAATAATAAAGACTATTATAACTTTGAAATAAATTAAAATTATAAATACATCATAATTTTTGCCCCAAAATAACATCATTTCGGTGAACATTAGACAAAGTTGTCTAAAGTAACTTTAAAAAAAATAAACCCTTAAAATATATATCAACTTTGTCTTCCGACGTATATTAATTAGACATCAATTTAGCCCATATATAAGTTAATATTAATTTTACACAAGGAAAAATCATATTAATATCAACGTCTTTAGAGAATCAATGCGTATTTTTAGATGACTAAACTGAGTATTTACTTTTTATAAATTTTTCACTACCCAAATCCCAATTATGATCGGCCAAAGTGAAGCATTTTTTTTAAAAGTATACGGAAACAGTTGATAATTTGTTTATTTGTTCAACATTTGAGATTTGATTTATTTTTCTCTGTTTCTTGATCATCAATGAAATAACCACAAGATGTTTATGTAATAATGGATGAAATTACATTGAAACAAAATATCTCTTGTGATTGTATATGATGATCTTTGGAAAACAAGATGTATCAGCTT